AGAAAATCTTTGTCTTCACCCAAAAGGAAAGCCCAAGCTGGTGATAACAGAATAAATGATATAAGGAGGGAGCTGCAGCCCCAATATAGGGAAAGAGGTAGTAAGGGAACACCTAGCTACTTTAAATGAATTCAGATCTCCAGGGCCTGATGAGCTGCATCCAAGGGTTCTAAATGAGCTAACAGATGTAATTTCAGAACCTTAGTCTATGATCTTTGAAAAAATCTTGGAGAACAAGTGAGGTCCCTACAGACTGGAGGCATGCAAATGTTGTTCCCCACCTTCAAAAGTAGGAAACAGGAAGACCCAGGTACGTGGGTGGGGCCGACTGGTGAGCTTGACATTGATACCAGGGAAGGCTCTAGAACAGATAATTCAACAGTTGGTCTGTGAGCATTTAGAAAAGGATAATGTGATTACTAAGACCTAGCATGGGTTTCTCAAAAAATAAGTCGTGCCAGACCAATCTGATTTCTTTGTTTTATGGAATTACAAACTTGAAGGATAAGGAAAATGCTGTGGACATAGTGTACAGTGCCCAGAAGTATAGTGTCCAGATCAAGGGAAGTAATAAAGGTAAAGGGACCCCTGACCATTAGGTCCAGTCGTGGCCGACTCTGGGGTTCCGGCGCTCATCTCGCTTTAATGGCCAAAGGAGCCGGTGTACAGCTTCCGGGTCATGTGGCCAGCATGACTAAGCCGCTTCTGGCGAACCAGAGCAGCACACGGAAACGCTGCTTACCTTCCCGCCGGAGCGGTACCTATTTATCTACTTGCACTTTGACATGCTTTCGAACTGCTAGGTTGGCAGGAGCAGGGACCAAGCAACGGGAGCTCACCCCGTTGCGGGGATTTGAACCGCCGACCTTCTGATCAGCAAGTCCTAGGCTCTGTGGTTTAACCCACAGCGCCACCCTCGTCCCTAAGGGAAGTAATAGTCCCATTCTATTCTGCCTTGATCAAACCACACCTGGAATCCAGTTCTGGGCACCACAATTTAAGAAGGATGTTGACAAGCTGGAACGTGTGCAGAGGAGGACAACTAAGATGATCAAAGGTCTGGAAACTAAGCCTTATGAGGAGCACTTGAAGGAGCTGGGTATGTTTAGCCTGGAAAAGAGGAGAGTGAGAGGAGATATGATAGCCATCTTCAAATATCTTAAGGGCCATCACATGGAAGAGGGAGAATGCTTGTTTTATCCTGCTCTGGAGGGTAGGACTCGAACCAATGTCTTCAAGTTACAAGAAAGGAGATTCCAACTAAACATTCATAAAAACTTTATAACAGTAAGAGCTGTTTGGCAGTGGAACAAACTCCCTCGGGAGGTGGTGGACTCTCCTTCCTTGGAGGTTTGTAAACAGAGGTTTGCATCTGTCATGGATGCTTTAGTTGAGATTCCTGCATTTCAGGGAGTTGAATTAAGAAGAAGAAGAAGAAGAAGAAGAAGAAGAAGAAGAAGAAGAAGAAGAAGAAGAAGAAGAAGAAGAAATTTATACCCCCACCCATCTGGCTGGGCTTCCCCAGCCACTCTGGGCGGCTTCCACCAAAATATTAAAATACCGTAATGCATCAAACATTAAAAGCTTCCCTAAACAGGGCTGCCTTCAGATGTTTTCTAAAAATCTGGTAGTTGTTCTCTTTGACATCGGGGGGGGGGGGCGTGCTACTACCAAGAAGGCCCTCTGCCTGGTTCCCTGTAACTTGACTTCTCGCAGTGAGGGAACCGCCAGAAGGCCCTTGGCGCTGGACCTCAGTGTCCAGGTAGAACAATGTGGGTGGAGACTCTCCTTCAGATATACTGGGTCCCTTCCGTCTCTAAGATTCTGTGATTCTGTGAATATAAGTAGTGTAGCAGCACACCCAGCTTTATGGCAGAGGCTTCATGGAGCTCGAGGAATGCAAGGGAATCATTCATTGCTCAAGTGGTTGATAGCAGCTTGCCTGATGTTTGGGGGAAGATAGCTGAGATGGAGACTGAGGACAGCAAAGTTTGAGTCAGATGGGGGGGGAGTAGCGGGAATCCCCTCCAGGAGGTTTCGTGAATGTGGTGTGTGACTTGCTTAGTGCTAGCACTAAGGGAGAGGCTATGGCTAAGGAGCCTAATGTGCTCTGGTTAAAATTGTGGAAAAACTTGCTCAGAGAGAAGCAGTATGTTACAAAGACCCTGTGCCTTCTGCTCCCCTCTCCGCTGAAGAGGGGGATGATGTCCCAGCTTTTTCACTAAGAAGCTGTATCGAGCATTAAGGCATGAGCAGTAAAGCTGTTTTGCGGGAAGTGTAATTGCTCACACTTGTGTTGTAGCAACCAGCAGTATCAGTTGCCAGAGGGGCAAGGTGACATTTCCCAAAGTGTAGATGAATTAGCTAATGTCTTTTAAAATATTAAATATTGCCCTTGAGTCACAAGACCAATTTTATTTTTATTGGCAGGGGACACAAGGGATGTACTAAACTCAATGTTATTTTTTTCTTTTCTTTTCTTATTGTATTCAATCGAATGAATATCATATTAATTTCTGGTGCTTTATCTTCTTTGGAGTAGTGTGTTCAAGATTTGCTAAACCATCTGCAGTGCCAAATGGCTGGGCAGTAAATCCTGCCAAAGTTCAATGACAGGCAATAGAAGTTGAGGTTTCTAGGCATGACATGGTCAGGTAAAAAGTATACAGCTCTTTGAAGGAACCAATACCTGCAAGATAGCAGACAGGTGTTGTGTATCATGCATTGAAGCCACAAAATGCATTAATGGATTACTGGAATAGTAAATCCAAATTGTGAGTCACCCAAATCCCACAGGACACCTCTCATGTAAGATGCATTCCAGTTGCCAAACAACAGGCAGATTGGAAAGGTATTCCCTGTGGGAGAGCAAAAGGCAGGGTAATGGGTGCTTCTCCAGTTCTTTGAGTGTGAAAAGTGCACCCTGCTGCATAGTTGCCTACACAAGCCTCAAAAGGTTCTATATGGATGGATTGATGTGCCTTGAGTGAAGGAGTGATAGGCACAGCTCCTACTCCTACTGACACTTATGGAAAATAGCCCCAAGATCTGGGTGGACCCTGGAACAAGTTGCAAGTTCTCAGGGTTGTGATGGACTCCAACTACCAAGGAGAAGTAAAAATGATCCTTCAGGCCCTGGGGGAATTACCCTACCAAGCAGGGGAAAGGTTGGTTCAGCTGGAGAAAGCTGCCTACTGTGTCAGTTGAACAGAGAGACCCTAACCCTATGGAAAAACAAAGGGTTTGGGCTCAAAAGGAGCTTCTGTTTGGTGACAGGAGCCCTCTAGCTAACTGCAGGCAGCTGAAGTGCTGAGCCCGACTGGGACAGCTACTAGTACAATGTTGGTGCAAGGCGAAGATGTGCCCAGAATTGTGCCTAACTGATATCAGTTTGCTGATTAATAGGCTGCCACCCAAGAGGATTGTGGCAGTCGCAGTTATCATGGTCCTAAGCTTCCTCTACTGACTATATCCATCCAACTATCTGTAAGACCTGGGTACAGTGGTACCTCAGGTTACATACGCTTCAGGTTACAGACTCTGCTAACCCAGAAATAGTGCTTCAGGTTAAGAACTTTGCTTCAGGATGAGAACAGAAATCGGGCTCCGGCGGCGCGGTAGCAGCGGGAGGCCCCATTAGCTAAAGTGGTGCTTCAGGTTAAGAACAGTTTCAGGTTAAGTACGGACCTCTGGAACGAATTAAGTACTTAACCTGAGGTACCACTGTATTTGTCCTAGACAAAGTGGCATATGCTGCTTTGTGTATAAAGACACTTGCTTGTTTGTAAAAAAGCCATCTCTTTGGTATGGTGTTCGTCCCACAAAAGCAAAGGCTAGGAAACCTGCCAGGCTGCTTTACTGTAAGTCTACACTTTTCTTTAATAAAGCATTAGAACTGATCATTCCAATGTTTTTGACATCATTCTTTGGTATCCCTACACAAAACCACTCCCACGAACCCTCGTTTCGGCCTGTGGTTCAGAACAATATCCACCGGTTATATTGCAATGCTGAATGATATAGCTAGTAGATAAATGTATAGCAGTGTGAGATAGCCTCTCCTGAGAAACAGTACCATTTTTCTCTTCTCAGTACGAGTCACATGAGATGTGAATGAACATCTGTGCCATTCCCAAATCCCACTTATTATTTAGTAATTCCACTCAGTTCAGCTGGACCTTGGTTGAAGGACTAATAGTTATGCACAAGATATTACTAGATGGCATAGGCGCCGACTCCATGGGGCTTGAGGGGGCTCGAGCCCCCTCAAAAAAATTTTTGGGGGGGCTCAGCCCCCCAATAATCTCGGGCGCCGGGGGCGGGGGCTCCTGCCTCGCTGCTTCGCAGCACCACCGCCACTGCCAAGGCACTGCCGGGGGGAATTTCCTTCCTCCTGGCGGTTTCAGCCCCCGCGAGAACAGGGGAATCCCGACTGGCCACACCTCCCAGCCAGCCAATCGGCTGGCTGGGGGGCGTGGCTTGCCCTATTTAGGGCCGGAGCCACTTTATTTGCATATTCATGAGCTTATTTATTATTCATGAGCTTTCCCGGGCCCCCCCAATATTTTTATAAGTCCGCGTCCCTGCTAGATGGTGTCTGCCCAACCTCATAGAAGCATAGGCGCCGACTCCATGGGGCTTGAGGGGCTCGAGCCCCCTCAAAAATTTTTTTGGGGGGGCTCAGCCCCCCAATAATCTCGGGCGCCGGGGGTGGGGGCTCCTGCCTCGCTGCTTCGCAGCACCACCGCCACTGCCAAGGCACTGCCGGGGGGAATTTCCTTCCTCCTGGCGGTTTCAGCCCCCGCGAGAACAGGGGAATCCCGACTGGCCACACCTCCCAGCCAGCCAATCGGCTGGCTGGGGGGGCGTGGCTTGCCCTATTTAGGGCCGGAGCCACTTTATTTGGATATTCATGAGCTTATTTATTATTCATGAGCTTTCCCGGGCCCCCCCAATATTTTTTATAAGTCCGCGTCCCTGCATAGAAGAGAATGCCACAACCTCCCTGTCGGAAGTTTCATAGAAGATAAAAAGTTGGGTCACTTCTCCAGAACTGCCACCTAGGTCTTCCATTCAGTGATATGGATCTGTTCCCATCCTAAATGAATATGGTTTTCACTCATCACACTTAAACAGGGTAGGCACTGGATTGTGAAATGTAAGACATACACACTGTAAGCATTCATTGTGGATCCCCTAGAGATGGAATGAGTCTTGGTTATATAATTTAGAAAAACAAACTATTAACATGAATTATTTTTTGTTGTTTTTTTAGATCTGCCAATTTAAAACTTAACAGAAGCATCAAACTGTATCAGCATTTTTGCTCGCCTTGTTCTTTCGTTGTTCCCATTTTTTTGGTACTCCACTCACTCCAAAACTTCGAGTCATTATGAGCGCACCGAACGTCAACAGTATAGGTTGTACAATCCCACAGATTAGTGAGTTCAATTGTTGCGCTGTCTTCTTCCATGAAGTAATCTTTCTGGAAATTGGACAGAATAACAGTTTTCCTTCAAAGAACACAGCAAATATCATAGGAGGCAAAATATAAATACTGTGGTCTCTCTTGCTATCACTTGCATCCATATTCTTACATTCCTCACCCCACACCCCAAGTGTGGCTCAGGTGGTAAATTCTGCTTGCCCAAAATTGGCATGCATTCTTGGCTCCTTCAATAAAATAACTGCTTACCAAAAGACAGCGTGTGCGCGCGCACACACATACACACACACACTTATGGCAAGTACATGGAGAATGTGGAAATGGAAAAGGTTCAGAAAAGGGCAACCCAATTTATTAAGTGGATGGAGAAACTCTCCTTTGAGGAAAAGTTAAAGCATTTGGCACTTCTTAGTTTAGAGAAAAGGCAAGTAAGAAGAGATGTGATGAAGGGGCCACTAGGTGGCGCATCGGAAGATGGCTGACAATAACATCTCTCCGACCCACACGAGGTAATTTGGAGGCTATGATGGGGGTAATTAGCCTCCTTAACCCCCCCCCCGGATTGTGGGGGGGACGGCCCTTGCCTGCTGTGCCCTATACCACCCCCGAATTTGTGGGGGTGGGGGCACTAGGCACAAAGCCCTCTTGTGGGATTCCGGCACTCCTCGATGCCGTCTCTGATCCGCGCCACTAGTTGCAAGAATCTTCAAAAGAAACAATTTGGATGAGATAAATTGCACATACTTCAAGGAAAAAGGGGGAGTAAAGACTGCTGACAGAAGAGATCTCTGATAACAAGACAAGAATAAAATATGAGAAGATACGTCAAGATACGGTACGGCAAATGACTGAGGGGGGGAAACCTTCCTTTCCTTTTTTTATGTGATTAAACAAGAATCCCCTCCCCTAATGAGTCAGAAATGTCGCTATAAGGACTTAAGCTGTGGATTTAAGGCTGTGTGGAGATAAACTTTCGAACCAAAGCAATGTTTCAAGACGAAGCTGGAAAGTTAAGAGTTTTGGAATGACGCAGTGAAAAATGCCATCGCCGTTTTGGGAGGCATTGCTGGAACTCTTGAGTCTGGGAGGAGAAAGAGAGAAATAGAGCTGTTTACATATTGTGGATTAACTCCTTAGTGGGACTTAAGAGGGACAAATGCCTAATTTATGATGGAAAGAGTGATGTTATCTACGAAGGAGATACCTATATGGAAACCATCTGGACTTAGATTGGAAGAACAGGAAATTCACACAGGATTATTATATTTGCTTATCGGCTTAAGGAGACTAACAGAAGAGATCGTAAAAGAAAAAGAGAAATTATATGAACAAGATATGATGTGGAAACACCAAGATAAGACTGGATAGAATTATGAATTTTGTCTGGACTGATTGGGACTGATTTGGACATTAACGCAGTAATAGTAAGAAGATGATTTGAATCCCCCTTTGGATCTTGAAGTATGGGTTCCCCCAACAAAATTTAAAAATTTGGCTTTGTAATTTGGAATTTATGTGATTTAGTTTGATGTGATTGGCCAGTTAATAAAAATTATTTTTTTAAAAAAAGAAGAGATGTGATGAAAGTGAATGTTCCAGCCAAAAGTTGGAAGATTCAAGACAGAGAAAAGGAAAGGGAAAGGGAGAGGGAGAGGGAGAGGGGAGGGAGGAAGGGAAGGGAAGGGAAGGGAAGGGAAGGGAAGGGAAGGGAAGGGAAGGGAAGGGTAGGTAGGAACTATGGAACTCGCTGCTACAGGCAGTATGTCTCAGAATATCTGTTGCAGTGATTCACAAGTTGGGAGGGTAGTGTGGCATTCAAGTTCTGTTTTGGGACTTCCCATAGGCTTCTGGTTGATGGACTACTCTGAGAAGGAGGATACTGGACTGGATGGGCCCCTTTGGCCTCATCCAGCAGAGCCCCTCTCATGTTCTTAGCTATTCTTACTCTTCTCACAAAAACTGACTTATCTGCCTTTCACCTGGAACTCCAAGAAGGACTTATTCACCAGGAATCAGAATAACAAAATGTCACAAAGGACCTGGGGATGTGGCAGTCATGCCCTTGACTGACTTTGAAGCTGTGAGACACCAGACAAAATAGGGGCACAATTGACAGGTTAAGAATACAGTCAGAATGTCACCCAGATAAGGATGAGCATCTACATTCCACTACCTCGGTAAACTACTAGCTGATACTATGAGGATCAGACTGAGAAGATGAGGCCAACATGGACAACAACAATAACCCCTGTGTGGTGGCCTTCCATGCTGTTTTTGAGATGAGTGTGGGAAGTGTTCTAACTGTGCGTGCAGAATGAGGCAAACAATTTTATGATAGAATACACAAAAAGATTCATTAGAGATCTTGCCTGTAGTTATATGAGCTGGAAAAATTGCTACTCACTTACAATTCAACTTACCATGCCATTTTCCTTTATGGATTTATAACGAATTTGGCACCTCGTATTGTTCTCGGCACTTGGAGGCATTCGAGATTTTTTCCAATGAACTCTTAGCTTTGGCGGCATCCCTGGAACTGTTTCTATTTTAGTTATCTGAGGAGGATCAGCCTTCACTGGAATTGAGAAAGAAAGCTCTCATGCTTTCAGTGCTAACGATTTCACAACCAACCCTACTGGCAGTAGCAAGAGAGATTCTGCTGGAATGGAGAGTGGGGTAAGCTGCACACTTGAACCCCATTGCAGAATTTATATTTCATTTCTAAGCACAGCTATAAAATGATAATTAATTTACTTATTTTCGATGGAGGGGGACTGATGAACCAGATCAATGTGATGCAACACTAGTGTTTTCCTTAAACGTTTTTTGCTTGCGGAGAGGTTCAACAGGCAGTCTTATAGCTGATTAGCTGTAATATATTGTAATATATTGAAGTGAATAAAATGAAGCAGGGGGATTGGAAGTGTTTTTACCTTTGCTGTTAAGATTACGGTGTTCTCTATTTGTTGTGGTTTTAAGCAGTTTTAAATGTTGTAAGCACTGAACTGTGGCTAATGTAGGCCACACCTCATTTATGTGGGGTTACGTTCTGGGCCTCTGCATCCGTCAGCAAAATGCACATAAATGGAGAGTCCTGGTGGCTTGCAAGGAGACTCTCTTCTGGCTCTGGGGAGGGTCTACTTGCGAGCCAGGAGGACTCTCCAGAGTGCTCCCCACTTCTGGGTTCTGGGCACCATGTGTGTGTATGCGGTCACACAAAGATAGAGCATACACAAACGGGGCACTGCTTGTACATCTAATACAAATATTGCCTCTCTAGGGTCTGAGGCAAAGGTCTTCTACATCATTTGCTACCTGATCCTTCTACAGGAGATCTGAAGGATCAAGCCTGGGACCTGCATACCAAATATGTACTCTGTCACCAATCTAATGACTTTCCAAGACAAAACCATTTGACCTTCAACAAGCTGATGCTCTAGTGTAAGATGTGCCATCACAAAACGTCACTAACCAAAGCCAGAGTACATATTGAACCCCTAATCCTAACAGCCATACAGGTATTGCAGTCACCATGAGTTCTGAGGCTGTCCAATCACAGAGATCTCAGCCATCTGTCATGGATGCTTTAGCAGAGTGTCCTGCATTGCAGGGGGTTGGACTAGATAACCCTTGGGTCCCTTCCAACTCTAAGATTCTATGAATGTTGAAATTTCCCACTCATTCAAGTTGAGGGGGGGGGGTTGGAATTGGCTTGACACCTTGATTGCGTAGCGGAAACCCTCATTAGTTTTCTGTGCCCTTCTACCTTCAGCCTCCCTCCTTGTATCCTACCCTCTAGCAGTTTTAAGAGCTGTTGGAAAGGCCTTATGCATACATCAGAGCTGGATTACAAAACAGTTGTTCAATTAAGGGGGGGAAATAATCATGCCAGGTAGACATGAAAGTGACAAGTATGCTTGTCTCCTGAAAAAGGCAATTGATTTGTACTGCTAAGGGAAGAAGCGAGATAATGTGGAAATGTAGCTATGCATTACATTATGGCACTGCTTATGAGCCATATTGCAGGAAACTATGGACCACTTAGAAACAAAAAGCTGAATTTGTCCAAAGTGGCAATGTGCATAAATGAAAGCATGGAAAGGTTTCCAAGAGATGAAGCTTTTCAAAATCCGCATAGGAATGTAGATTTATGCAAAATAGAATTCTTCAGCAGGGTGCTGTCAGTGTACTAGAGAGACTGGGCTAGTACCCTAAATGTTCCTGGTAACTTAAGAGTATTAAAGTATTAACGCCTGCTGCCTCCTTCTCAAAGCCTAGGAAGCTTCTGCTCTGCTTAGGGAGGGAGGTGCAATGCTCCAAGGGGGTCCAAGAGCCCTTCTACCATCTTCCCTAAGCCCACTCAGCTTTGGTAAGGAGGCAGCAGGGCTCCAGTATCCTGTCAGAGGCCTGGCAACTCCTTCCCAAAGCCCGGGAAGCTTCTTCCCAGCTTAGAAAGGGAGGCACAATGTTCATGCGCATGGCGTTGTCCTGTCCCAATCACACTTGGAAGCTGGCACCTCTGGCGCTAAATGTTATCCTACGAAAATGTTCACTGCATGCCACTGGAATTCTTTTATCTCTGCAGTAGCAAAAGATGTATTGCATAAGAACTGGTTGCTCAAACACAGTCTATGTTTCTCATATTTTAAATTGCTTATGAACTTACAAATTGTTGTAGAAATTATGCAAACAGGCTCTGAGGTTGCTTTCCCCAAGCCATTTCTTGCCGTCACCCAGACACGATATTCCCGAGCAGAAATTGGTTGATTGAATAATGTACACAAAGCACTTTTGGTTGAGCAGCTTTGTATCTCATCGCCTACTAATGTCGAAGCCCCTTTCATTGAGCAGTTTTCTTCCTCATTCGGTGCTAACATCCTGTTTGTGAAAAATTCAGGCGGTGGGAAGAAGAACAAAATTAGTAAATATTTTTTTGGGAATAAGTGGTTAAGAAGCTCACTTTAGAATCAAATCCAGGACTGAAATATGTTGAGCACAATTTAGAAAAGAACAGTAAAAGGTGAATTATGCTTTTAATAATGACAACCGAAAGTTGAGAACATTCAAGTGCCACAGATTTCAACAGAAGAAATTTAAAGCATGGGTTTTCCCTCCCATAGAAATTAATAGGATGAAAATATCCTGCAGCCAACCTAGATGCAATACGAGATTCTTGATTAAGATCTTACATGCGTATTTATTTTATTTTATTTTTAAAAATATCTTTGTATGCATTGGTAACCACACACAGCTACTTTGAAGATTAAAAAAAAGTGTTCTGGGACAGTAAGTTAAACTTTTTCCTCTCTTACCCCTCTCCCACAGAGCTATTAGTTCTACAGGTGAAAAATCAGACATGGGCGGGAGTTAATTTAGATCAAAGAAAGGGCAAAGGAGAAAATGATAAACTTGCTCTCCCAGTAGCCATCTAAGGCTGCTAACCTGAGAGAGGGCGTGCTAAAAAAGAAAAAGAAAACAACCCTATGGGAGATCTACATCACAGGTGTCCCATGTATCGTCTGAAGTCTTGTTAGGCCTGGGTCACCACCATAAAAGTGCTCAGCTGTATACCAGCCAGAAAACCCAACGTCCCTACCACTCACCCTGCTAAGGACATGCAGGTACCTTGTGCTTAGCAGCTGGAGCTGAGTATTGCCTCTTACTGCATCTTCCTGACCACATATCCCCAATTAAAAACAAAAATTATTATTTGCATTGTCAGTGTGGAAACACTATGGATAGTAATAAAGTTCTAGGCTGGGTATAGTCAAGGGTTTTTATAAGCAGTACAGTTGGCAAAGAGAGAAGCACAATTCCTTTCCCTATAGATATGAGTTAAGGCTGTACCACCATTGTCATTTGTCAAGCACATATGGCCGTTTTTGGAAGCATTATTAAAAACAAACAAACCTCAGAACAAAAGCTGACTTTGAGATACATATGGAACAAATATTATTTCTTTCCCACTCTGAAAAAATGTTATCGCAGTGAATAGATATTGAAAAGAATACAGTGAATGCACATGGATGAAGACTTTTTGTGGGCTGTATCCAACCTTTGTTATAACTACAGACCCATTGAAATTAATAGACATAAATGGATAGATATATGACACATATGAGTGCAAAGAGGGGCAGAAAGTAAAACTTTATGGTACAGGCCACCCCCAAGCCCTGCCAAGCTTGTGCATGGGATTCCAAGGGTCTTGGTCCTCAACCATGGTATGTGCTCCTTTGGAGAACTGAATGTGTAGCAGAGACTGTCATAGCTTTAATAAATATGATTTATTCACATATTAACACCAGAGTTTGGAAGGAAGGAGTCAGGATCTTACAGCATGGTCATCTCAAGAAGGGTTTGTTTCCCTCAGCAGTGCAGCACTTGAGCCCAAGGCATCTCTCCCAGCCTGCTTTCAGCCAACCTGCCCAAGATGGATCTCAGTCTTTTTCCCCCTCACCCTTCTTCTTCCCAGCACACCTTGCTCTTTTCCTGTCACCTCTCTCACACACAGGTACGCTGGCAGCGTTTGTCTGCCCAGGCCCAAGGATTCCTCTTAGATGGGCAGTCAACATTCTGCCGTGTTAACAGTTTTGCTCTTCACTAGCTTGGCCAGGCTGATTGCATAAACCAGCATAGGAATTCTTTGTCTAACGCAGTTCTGCAGCTTGTATTTTCATTCATATCTCAAATAATCAAAATCCTACCATTTATAGGGTTTAGGGCAGTCCCCGCCTAAACTTCCAGCTATATATAGATATATATATCTATATCAGGGGTCTGCAACCCGCGGCTCCGGAGCCGCATGTGGCTCTTTTACACCTTTGCCGCGGCTCCGGGGCGGATACTAGCGAGGGGAGGAGGCGCATTGTGCGCCCCGACACTCTCCACTGTGGCGGGCGCTGTACTTGCTGTGACGTCACATGGGGGCGGTGCGTGCGTTAGTCACGCACCATCCCGACGTCACCTTCCCGCCCGCTGTCAGATCGCGGCTCCGGAGATATATTTGTTTTAAATGTTGCAATGGTTTTGCGGCTCCCAGTTGTTGTTTTCTTCGGAAACGGGTCCAAGTGGCTCTTTTTGTCTTAAAGGTTGCAGACCCCTGATCTATATATATAGATACATATATATATAGATAGATAGCTGTTGTAGAGGTATTTTTTAGCAGGTTGTATGGCTTTATTCCTCTTAATCTCACAGTATTTCTGAAAATTTAATTATATTGGTGTACAACCCTGGAATTCATTTTTGGATAAAATGCATTTTGTGTTCTGCCACATCCCCCATGGAAGCCATTTTGTACTGTGCCACAACATACCCATAGCAACCACTTCGTGACTGGTACCCACACCCCTTTATATAATATTAGTAGCCAAACTCTTAGCACTTACTGTTTAGTGAGAGTATAGACTATTTCAGGGTCCCTTTCATATGTCCAGACGCAAGTAAGAGTTGAACCACTTTTGTAATAAAATAAGCAGACAATAATTTCAGGAGGCTGTGGAGGAGCTGCAAGCAAGAAAGGAAAAACAACAGATTTCTCAGGCATTTGAATGACCAGTTTCGTTTGGTAAAAAGACTTTAAACTACTTGGCATCAGTAAAATCTTACAATTTATATCTTTTAAAATATTACACCCACTAGGATCCCATTCTGCATAAATATTGTCAAAAAATTTCAAGTATCATCTTCATCTATTTTTAAAGATAAATCATTTAGATCAGATATACAAACAGCAAAACACAAAACAACACAGTAGTGATGGAAAAATGAACAAAGAAAGGTTCTACCTCGTCCCTTTAACAGATTCATGTGTTGTCTACCACCCCTCAGACTTGACATACACGTTTTTTTTCTTTAAAAAGTAATTCTTATTAAAGATTTTCTTGGTTTACAAAAGTACGTGCATTGTCTTTTTTTTCAGGTTGTAAAGTCTTTTCTACAGATCAGTTACATTTCTTATGAGACATTAGTGTTGAGTACAGTATAAGGTTGGGGATGAAGTGGGGGGCAGGGGTGATGGTGAAATTTATATTTTATTTTGGTGGGGGGTATGTGTGGGGTTTTGTGTCAGCATCAACTGGATAACATGTTTTAATTCCCCACATAGTTTTTCATAATATGGCATCTTGGACTTTTTGCCATTATACAATGACTGTGGAGCCAGTTTAGACTTCACACATTTGACAGCTTTCTTTGTGCCACTCGGGCCAAACTAGACTCAGCACTAAACAAGTCAGTGGGAATCACATCAGTGTGCGTTTTTCTTTTTGAAAAGCAGATATGGTTTTGGACAGCAGTACACAAGGAATGCTCACTCCCAACTGTGGTATCAACAGCTTGCCTAAACCACCTATTTGGCCCTAGGAGGAAGTTCTCTTATTTGGGGTTTAGTCCAGTTAAATTAGATGTTTTAAACTGTTTATAGTGTATATAGATCGCCCACCTTCATTCAAGTCAGCAGGAGGAAGTTGATACTATTGATTTCAATAAAAAAAATTCTGTAGGCTTAGGATTGCAGTCTAATAATAAGTGCAGAAAAGGTTCAACTTACCTAGGGAACAGAATCCACAAGGCATGACTAAGATCCAAAGTGAGGCTTGGAAGATTTTATTTAGGATCATTGTGTGGGGGCAGAAAACACTGTAACAAAATTAAGATTGTTTTCTCCGTTCAGGTCTGGAGCACTCCTGAATTATATAGTACAGGCATCATTCCCCCCCCCCCCCACATACACACTTACACATGTTTCATTTGCGCATGACCACAAGTCTGCACCGTACCGGGAAAGAAAGGAAGGAAGGAAGGATAGATAGATAAACTCATACCAGGAAATGGCAGGAGAGAGCTGGAGAGTCCTTGTGGCTTACGAGAAGACCCTCCCCAGAGCCCAAAGAAGCGCCAGTATGGGTGGGAGGAAGCCTTGAAAAGACCCAAGGTGCACTGAGGGCTTTGTTTAGGCTACTAGCCAGCAGCCTCCAGCCGGAGACTCTAGATATTTTGGTCTGGATTGGAGAGATGGTGGGAGAGAGAGCCTGGAGAACAGGGGGAAATAGACATTTAGGGGCTTTTTAAAGAAGAGCCCCCCACTTTATGTGATTTCACTTATGCATGTGGGGCCCCGGAATGTAACCCTTGCATAAGTGGTGGGTGGGATGTGCATGGATATGCTGTAGTGAAATTAATATTTTTCTTCTCCAACCAGGTCAGAAATGCTCCTGTATTATATAGCATATATTTCTATCTGGTGAGCAAACAGTATAGTTTATAATGAAAATAAAATTGTTTGACATATCTTCCCTCAGCTAAATTTCCAAAGGAACCAGAAACCACCATTCTACTACAGTATTACTTCACACATTTCAGAGTTGACTCCTGAAAATAGATTTCAGAGCTGAATTTTTTTGCTCTTTTGTTTTTTGAGAGTCCTATTGCTGTAACACAGAACTTGTGAAGCGGGCTTCCTCTTTATTGGGGTCAAATGATTTAGAAAAAACCTGCAAACCACAAAGCAGTATTGCCACGTGCCACTCCCCACAATCTCAGTGCTCATAGCCAGTTTTTCAACAGTAATGCATGTATAGTATAGTCTAGTCTAGTCTAGTCTAGTCCCGTCCCTGGGATCTTAGTGGTTATAATGGTTGTTCCCTCACCTGTTGCTATTTAGCTGCCACATCCCATTGGCCCCTCCTGCCTATGTTAGACGACGTTAGTAGGATCTACTATGAAACGTAGTTCTTGACAAATGATGTACACTTCTTTCCAACTCTCTTTCCAGGATATAGCTCAGTTGGTAGAAGTTGAGACTCTGAATCTCACAGTGATGGGTTTGAGCCCCACGTTGGGCAAAAGATTCCCACAAAGTTCCTGTCTGAACATAACATTACAGTTTAAAATAAGCTTTCTTTTTGCTCCCTCGGGAAGCACTGGGGCAAGAAAAAAAGTCTCCGCTGCCAACACTACCCTACATTTGGCACCAGCATGGATGCAGGAGTTGCTAGGAGGAGGCATACAACATGCCATCCTTAAGGACTCTACTCCAGATTTGTTAAATCCATTATGGGGAATGGAAAAATCAGGTTGCTACCTCCGAGTATAGGGCGATATATAAATTTACTAAATAATAATAATTTTTTTTTCAGCTCATTGTTAATTCATGAGTCAATTGCTTCCATTCTATGATGTTCACTATTTGTAGGAATAATAGAATCATAGAATTGTAGAGTTGGAAGGGATCCCACGGTTCATCTAGTCCAATCCCCTGCAATACAGGAATCTCAGCTAAAATGGCCATCCAAGCTCTGCTTAAGAACCTCCAAGGAAGGAGAGTCCACAACCTTCTGAGGGAGACTTCTCCACCGTTGAACAGCTCTTACTGTCAGAAAGGTTTTCCTCAAGTTTTGTCAGAATCTCCTTTCTTGTAACTTGCAGGATTTACTTTTTTCTTTTCTTTTATACTATCTAATGCAAAAAAACAACAACAACCCCTTATAATTAAAGAAATCCCAATCCAGGACTAAAAACTGAATGAAGCTTACTTTTGGTTACTCCAAGCTTTGACCATGACAATCACGAGGTGGTGAAAGGCATCCTTTTGTTGCTGTTGTTAAAAAATCAGGAGTCAGGAACACTTCACCTACTGCAAAGCTTCAACAGACTTACCAGTAGAACTTGACCTACTATCTGCCTACTCCTGGTAGAAGACAAATTCCAGTACGGAACAGGCTGCCTACACATCCCCCCCTCAAGGCAACTTTGCTTTGTTAAGGGTTGCCGGGAACTGGGATAAACTTCAGTGCCCAAAATTCTTAGGTGGGAAGTATGTTTTTCAAATGTACTTTAAAGGTATTGCACATCAAGTTGAGAGTTATTGAAAGATAAACAACATGTGCACATGGGTCAGACCAAAACCCTTTAAAGCCACACCTGTCCAAAAGTTCTTAAAGATAATTTATGTCCTGTTTTGAGGGTCTGGGGGTCAGGAATCCGAAGTTGTGAAGCATCTTCTCTACCATAGCTGTCAACGTTTCCCTGTTTTTTAAAGGAAATTCCCTTATTCTGAATAGGATTCCTCGCAAGAAAAAAGAAAAGTTGACAGCTATGTTCTCTACCCAATGGATCTTTCAGGTCATCCACTGGAACTGTTAATATCAACAGCACAAAGCAAACAAAAAAAAACCCGCTGAGTTTGGGCACTGTGAAAACAGCCTTTGAAATAAATAAATAAATAAATAAATAAATCTGGGGAAGTGCAGGAGGCGGGGGTGGGAAGAAGTGTACAATGACGGGGAGTGGGAGAATGAAAAAGCAAATGTGGCGCTCGAAGCCAAAGGACTCTTGATGGCGTAAGTTGAGTAAGAAGCTGCCATTGTGCAATAAAAGATGATGAAGAAGAAGAGTTTGGATTTGATATCCCGCCTTTCACTCCCTTTAAGGAGTCTCAAAGCGGCTAACATTCTCCTTTCCCTTCCTCCCCCACAACAAACACTCTGTGAGGTGAGTGGGGCTGAGAGACTTCAGAGAAGTGTGACTGGCCCAAGGTCACCCAGCAGCTGCATGTGGAGGAGCAGGGAATCAAACCCGGTTCCCCAGATTACGAGACTACCGCTCCTAACCACTACACCACACTGGCTCCTGCAGGAAAGAAAGAAGAAAGGCAGGGAAGGGTCAGTCGAGCCAGGGAAAGGAGTGTGTGAAGAGGGGGAAACCTCGGGGCACAGTCCACTCACTGCTCCTGGGGCTCCCCTACCTCCTCAAGCTACAGCAGCCTGCCACGTGGTCTCTGCCAGAGGCTGAGGCCGAGCTTTATATGTCTTCCCCACCCACCATGTTCCTTCTCTTCCTCTAGGTGGGCCTCATCGGCCTCCAAACTGGGAGAATAGTTGCGGAGACTTCCAGTTCTAACCCACGCAGAGCCCGGCTGAAATGACTGAAAAGCATTAAAAATGTACTCAATGAACTGAGGTTCTGCTCCCTCCCTCCCCCCGTGATGTCCTTTTTTCGAGATGAAAAGATGGGCTAGAATGCATTGCGACTAAAAGTGTATCTACTTAAGGAGAGGGAGTGAGGAACACCACCAGATGTACAGATGTGGAATTATTTTGTTATAAAGTAAGAGTTGTGCCCATCACCTCAGACAAAATGGAGTGGAATGCCACATAGACTGAACTCCTAACTACAGAGGGCATGCCGATTAATTCTTGGTGGACTTATAAATGATGTTGCCTTCCCGTTTTGGGAGTTTATAAAAACATTAATTGCATAGCCTTGTTTGGTTTTTGGTGAATGTGCTTCTATTGTATTATATGTCTATTTTTAAATATGCTGTGAAGACTTTCCCCCTAATAAATCATGGTCGTCTAAAGAGGTGAATGATGCGACTGAGGCGTTATTTACGGCTTTTTGCTGTCATGTTCTTTCAGAGAGAGAAATTCATCCGTAACAAAATTGCTATGTTGCTTCTTGTGAAAACAGTCCTGAAAGTCCCTCTTGTGAAAGTCCCCTGAGGGATAGTCTTACTATTGGGCCAAGCGAGGCAACCACAGGACACATGAAAGGACCTCAAATTCTTAGTTATTATTGTATTTTTACTGTGAGGGGAAAGACAGTTGTCTTTTGCACCAGCCTGAAATAATAATAAGTGTGAAGAGCCACATCCACCTATTTTTTTAGAGCACAAAGAAGTTCATTTCTTTATAAAGAGATGCTTTTCAGAGACAGGGCACTGCTCAGCCAAGAACTTAAACATATTATTGTGTGAGAAATTTAGTTATATTCAGGGATGCCAACTTGAATATTGGGGGGGGGGGAGGCCCACCCCACATAATCAAGCACAAGACATGGCACATGAACCCCATCCGAATGGCAATGCCGATCAACTTTTGGCTGGCAGCCCCCTCACATATTTCAGCTGGGATGAAGGG